GGCTGAAGGCTGATACCCAGCGATACTTTCAAGCAACATTTAGTTGCACAAGTCTTACAGGAGATTCTGAAAATTCCTTATGAATGTATATGTTCATACATAGATCTTTTGAATAACCTTAAATTCATGTTCATTATTGTTTTAAATAATTTGAAGGGCTGTAATGTATTTTTTCTCTGTCACTTTTTGATTACTTGTGCTGGCTATTATCTACAGAAAATGTGAAAAGTCATTTTATATCTCACTTGATAACATTTGGTTGATTACATCCAGACAGATAATACCATCAGAATGCCTTTTAAATAGTATTTACAGCCCTTAGTTTCCTTTTAACCAGCACCTGTAATCTAGCTTCTTCAGAACACTGCACATCAGTATCATTGCATATTTTCTATCATAATCTGGAATCTTATCATTAATTATTTAAAATTTCATTGACATGCAATCAAAAAATGGGCTTCTTAATTTCAGAGATATCCTACAGAATAAATTTCTAAAAAATGTTCCTTTCCCAACAGAATATTTGAAATCAAGAGGATATACTATGCCTTAGAAGTTGTAACAGCTCCATTTCTCAACATGTTTTTCCACTTCAGTTGTCTCATCTTTGGAAAGAACCAGGTAAACAAAAGGTCAGCAACATTCATCTGAGCAGTAGGAACCCCTCACCACCTTGAATTGTTCATCTGTCATTCCGCCTCTACAGTGCTTGTCCGCAGTCATCGTCACCGAAGCAGCTGCCCGATGTGTCCCTTCGTTCCTCCACAGGTCGTCATTCCCTGTCACCCTCAGAAGGGCACAGAGAAGGAACGTGATGATTCAAGTTGTCTTGTTCACTCTGCTCCAGCATCATCCAAGGTCCCAGTTAGTTGTCACAGATTTGGGGAGATACAGTTGGAGGGAATTTAATCCACAGAGAGAAGACACTCCCGTTCAAAGTGTCACCACGCACCCTCCAAGGACATGTAATTCCTTTCTAGCAGAAGAATATGCTGAGTCTCTTCAAACTTTGGTGTCACAAGTTCTCGTTCACGATTGGGAAACTTCTAAAATGCCAAAGGCAATTTGACATATAAAAAGGGGATTTAGGGTGTGTTTAAGGAATTGTGAAAGCTGTATTATAGCTGGGATTTCATCAAAACTTCTCCTACAGTGGAGCTTTGATTGGAAAGATCTATATCTGGAATTATTGGGAACCATTAACGAAGGCTGGAAATCCAATGAGGGGCTGCAGAAAATTGAATTATCGTAAAAGTTGATTTCCAAGATGTGATAAAGATATGAGAGTCCACTTAGTCATTGAGATCTGTTTCAATGTTCTGGTTCTTTTATTCACTTCTATATTGCAGGGTGTGTTTATAGGCAGGCCCAAATATGGTAAAGCTCAACTGAGAATCTGTCAACAACACCATGCTGATGAAAATAATAAATTGGTTTCCACCTTCACGCCCATGCCGTGCCAGCCCACCTCCAGAAGCGGATAAAAGGTAGTGCCTGAAATTGTGGAGTCAGAGAAGACTGTGCGGACTTCTCTCTGCATTCATCTCTCAGCAGCACAGCTCCGTTGGTCTTTCTGCTCTTCTTGATTTTGACTCTGCTTGGACGAAACAGCCATGTCTCGGCAGTCTGCCTGCAGAAGCTTTGGAGGCGGGAGTAGAAGGGGCTACAGCTCTTGCTCTGCCATGGGTGGTGGCTTTGGAGGAGGTGGCGGCAGAAGCAGGATCAGTTACAGTTCATACTCCTCATCCAGGGGAGGTGGAGGAGGTGGATATTCTGGAGGGTATGGCAGCAGAAGCCTCCATAACATGGGTTGCAGCAGAAGAATTACCATGGGTGGATGCGGTAGTGGTGGAGGATACGGAGGCAGAATGGGTGGCTTTGGTGGAGGCTATGGAGGAGGAATGGGTGGCTTTGGTGGAGGAATGGGTGGTTATGGTGGAGGAATGGGTGGTGGAGGAATGGGTGGCTTTGGTGGAGGAATGGGTGGTGGAGGAATGGGTGGTGGAGGAATGGGTGGCTTTGGTGGAGGAATGGGTGGTTATGGTGGAGGAATGGGTGGTGGAGGAATGGGCGGCTTTGGTGGCCCTGGCTTCCCTGGAGGCATCCAACCGGTGCAAGTTGACCAGGCCCTCCTGCAACCGGTCCATGTTGAGATTGATCCTCAGATCCAGCAAGTCAAAAACCAGGAGAAGGAGCAGATTAAGACTCTTAACAATCAGTTTGCCTCCTTCATTAATAAGGTGAGAATTTAGGACCACGTTTGTTTGGAGGTGGGCATTTTAAACGACTTTCCTGTGGTGTGGAAAGGGAATTTTTTTTCTTACCAACAAGTACTTTTTGAAGTTTGCAAGACTGATGTCTTAGTAGCACGTTATTATTAAGGTCTTATTAAGCAATTCCGAACAATAGACAAGGTTTTCATGCTAATGGAAGATTAAAGAGAACATCTGCAGGACATTCGGTAGATTCTCTTGCCTAGTCATCTCTTCAGCCTAATTTCTAGTGATTCAGGGTAAAGTCATCATCATATATTTAGTTGTCCTAAGAGTTCTCACTACAGTGCTTTTCTTTTTAATGAAATTTCCTTTTCAAGGAACTGATTCTATAAACTCAAGAGTTTTAAATACCTTTCCAACACTCTTGGATTATTTTAATTTCAAATAGAAACCAAAGAAATACAGAATCCGTTGTAAGAGAATTTATGTGCAGTTAGAAGAAAAAAAAATGTTTTCTTGACTTCACTACTGCAAAGATGATAGCAATGTCCAAATATAATGCTATGGAAAACGGGGATGTTGTTTTCTATTGGCAACAGCTTTTTGTCCCCAAGTGAAAAGTTCAGAATGACTCAAATTTTAATAATGCTTGTCATGCAATTTAGGAGCTTGGATGTTTGAATGAGCCATAGTTGGAGATCTGGGAAATGATTCCCTTGGCCTCCCAAATAAGCAGGAGGTTTGAGTAGTGTGGTGTCTCCCCGGGTGAATATCTCACACACTCCCTTGTGGGCTTTCAGGTCCGCTTCCTGGAGCAACAGAACAAGGTCCTCTCCACCAAGTGGGAGCTCCTCCAACAGCAAGGGCCTTCCGGGCCAAGGAAGAACCTTGATGTCATCTTCGAAAATTACATCCAGAACCTTAAGAGGCAGGTGGAGTCAATCTTGGCGCAGAGGGGACAGCTGGAGTCAGAGCTTCAGAACATGCGGCAATACGTGGAGGAGTACAAAACCAAGTAAGTGCAGGGCCAGACTAAGGAAGAAGTGAGCACCAAGACACGAGAGCCAAGCCAGCTTGGAGATT